CGGCCGCCTATCTGTTGAAAAGCCAGCGGTGGAAATATATATATATATGCATCAGTTCAACCGTTCAGCCATTTTTAGCAAGTATCCAGCTTCCAACCACCGGTTTCTGCGGTCTTTTTCCAAGGATCCATTCCTGTGTGGGCGAATAGCCATCAAACAACATACAGCAATAACCATATATATAGGAATGGATTTCTGCCACCACAAAAGCAGATCCAATTGCTCTGGCATCGTCGGAGTCCGTTTGAGAAGAGCTGCCTATCAGGCGGAGATTCTTTGCTTCAACCACCAGACGACCCGGCTGATCAAAAACATTGGAAGTTTTGAACAACTTGGTGAGGCTTTTTCGCTGTCAAATCGAGTGGGACCATTTCAAAGGAGCCGCTGCTCCGTGCAACTCTTGTTGCATCTTCAGGGCTGCAGGGGGTACCGATTTGCACCCTGTCAGGTGGCTACAACTGAAGTGAGAAATAGAAATGATAGAAAAGCCATATTCGGAAAAATATAGGAAAACCCGCGCTTGACTTCCAAATCTTTCAAGTCTATGCAGCTTTTACTTTTCACTGTCTGGGATTGGAGCCTTCGGGTTGCCAGGCGTACTGCGACTTTGCGCGAGAATCCGTACCCCAAAAAGAAAGGTTGATATCGCTCCCTCCAGTGCTGGAGTCTCAGCATGACCTGCAAAACACCAAAGGAATTACAAATCTTTTGGATTCACTTTTCACTAATTCTGCGCCACAAGTTGAAATAAGAGGTGACCAATGCCACGCAGGTGATGAGAAAATGGACTGCTCGTGACGCTGGCATCCTACCAGCCCAAACGCCTGTCCAACATCAGCAAATGCGCCAGACAGCGGGCCCTGTGCGCTTCGCGGTTTATGTCAATGCTTGGTGTTTATGATAGTTCCCGATTTTATTTGAGCAATTGTGTAACCAATTCTGACAGTATATATTCTAGTTAGGGCATGTCGGAATGTCGGATGAGATTGATCATCCCGTTGTCAGGGTTGAAATGGGTGGAAACAAGCGTGTTTGCAACTACCAACCAGTGATTGACAGATGACTGAGAGTTTGCAAGGCACCGTTCGCCTCAAAGTAGCGCCCAATTGCCTTGTCTTTTCAAGGCCACCTCAGTTTCAAGCCAGTTATTCGGTCGTGTCATTGGGCACCCCATCCCCAAAGTGAAGAATCATTTCGCGGCTAAGGCCAGGACTTGCTGAAGCTTCCACGCCTTCCGTGCCTAGGTTCATGCTTTCAGAACCCGAGGGGCTACCCCAAGGTCTGAGGCGCTAGCCCGCTTCTTCCGCTGCTTTTGTCGGAAGAGGCGTGTGTGCACCAAAAGCGCTCGGGCCTGTGAAGCAGGCGTTTTTTCGTGTGCAATTGTTTCATGGGACAGTGCGCCAAGCCTGGACGTAGTTGTCCCATCCCGGTGGTGCCTGAATCATGAATCTGGCAATTTAGGACATTACGCCGTCAACACCTCCTGAGGCCATCACCGCTGGCTCTTGCATCATCTTGCGAACCTCGCGCACTCCAGCAGGAGCTCAAATGTCGAGAGGGAGATCAAGTTTCGAGACAAGACACAATGCTGCCGTAGACCTCCACCCAGGTCTCCCCATCCTGTGGGCGAAGTGGGATAGGAGCCAGGTATGAGATGATCGGATGTGTGTCCGCGCCTTGCGGTGCTGCCGCAATGCCTCTATTACGTACGCGCCGGAAAACTTCTTCGGGGCGTCGTACGCAGCGTGGCTGAGTTCCGTCAGGAGCAGCATAGCATTGAAGGCTTCCCTGTCACTGGGGTTTCGCGCTGCTGCCTGAAATAAGGCGTCGGTGCATGCAGGGGCGGATAGGGGGTCTGACTTGAAACTGAGAAGGCGGAGGCAAAGTGCAAGGCATGGCTTCTCGCTATGCGTGGAACCAAGAATTTTGCTGGTAACGACATTCACTTTGGAGAAAGGCTTTGCATCGCGCACTTGCGGCCCCGGAATTCCTATTTGAAAAAAGCCGACAACCGAACACTCCAAGATTCCTGACTCTGTTCTACCATCGCTGTGGCCTGGCCCCGCACATTTGGCGTCTTGACGCGAAAGATGTAGCTGAAATATTGGTCTGCTCGCGATTCAGCTGCAAAGTGTTGCCGCTCCTGGCAACGTGTAGGCACAAGTGCTCAAAGGATTTAGGCACAAGTGCATGAACGCGGCGCTTGCCTGACGATTTTTTGCGGCCATTTCAAGAATGAATATACGCTGCTCCCCGCCTCGTCTTTGAGCACCTGTTTGGCAGCCTTTGCGGGGCCCAGGTCCAAACCATCCATTTCCGCAGCAGTGGCCTGGAGGTAATTCACCAGCGATGGTAAATACCAGTAGAACAATAGTAAAACCCAATAATGGTAAATCCCAGATAAAGTTTTCAGAAATTAAAAAATAAAATATTCAGCCGGTCACTTGTGAAAAAAATATTCATTATATATGGAATTGGTGAGAAATCTACCGTAATCAACCAGGCATGGTAAATCACAGGAAAATCATGGTAAGCCCCAGTAAAACCATGGTAAATCCCAATAGAACCACGGTAAATCCCATCGGCCGGTATCATTAGAAGATGTTAATCCGCTCTCCCTCTCTCTCTATATCTTCATCATCTCTAGATCCGTGCATTTTATATTATGAACTGGTCTTGCCAAGTATGAATTTGGAATGCGCAGTCTTGAAGATGCACACCATTGCTTATAATTAAGTATACTGGTTTGAAATGTCGTTAGATGGAAGATGGAAAGTTGCCTTTAGCGAATAGTTATTTTCCTATGCTGGCTGGTGGTCATCCCGGGCCCCAGCTGCACTCCCCGGCCTAGGCTTCCTCTTCGTTCTCTCTCAGACGGAAGAGGCGGTTGCGGAGTTCGGCAACCAGCCGTGCCATCCTCCGTGGAAACGCCCTTGGGTGGTGGTGGCGACGGACGTTCAGTAGGCACTTGCGGGCGGCTCGGTGGAGTTTCCACTTCAACCGCCGCACCCTGGTGAACCCAAGTAGAACTATGGCAAATCCCAATAAAACAATGGTAAACCCCCGCCAAACCATAGTAAAACCATTGTAAACCCCAGCAAAACCATGGTAAATCCCAATAAAAGCATGGTAAATCCCGGCAAAACCCTTGTAAAGCAATGGGAAACCTCAGTAAAACCATGGCAAATCCAATAAAACCCTGGTAATCCCCTAAAAACATGGTAAAACCCAGTAAAACATGCATGTATGTATGTATGTATGTATATATATATATATACATACGATTAAGTTGTCTCAGTGTTTCACATCATGCTTTTGCAGCTCAGCAGTGCCAACGGGCAGGTAGTTACGAAGGCCGGTTCCAACGCCACCAGTTGATGGGGCTTGCGGTCATCCATCTTTGCGTCCAGCTGGGGCCGCAATCCTTCTCCACCCTGAGTACGGGTGAGCCTTGAAGTGGGCCGACCACATGGCAAAGCCATTGTCAAATGGGGATATCCAAGAATGTACAGCATACGCTAGCTACTAGTGGCTTGCTCTTGAAATCGGGCTTGCAGGGTGCGTCTGCATCTGGTCTGCCCCCTTGAAAGTAAAATCTCATTGAAACCGTGGTATATAAAAATAAAAATACAAATCCTAAATAAAACCGTAGATAAACCCTAAACAAACCCTAAACAAACCCCAAACAAACCCTAAACAAACTTAAGAGTTGGTGACATGATAAACCTCTGGGCAGCACCCCCGGCCTTAATCATATGTGTATATATTTGTAAACATAAAATCAAAATCATATGTATAATATCTATATATATATATGTATGAGATATTCCCAGCTCCATCCAGATATGCTTTCTGCATGTCCCCAGCGTCTCAGCCAAGGGCAGTAGCGCTTGGGGCCCATCGCGTTTGGTGCGGTAGCCGAAGGGGCTGGCATGACACACCTCGATGCCGTAGAGCTGCAGGAGTCGTTGGAACTCCGGGACGCGCTCGGGGTTAGAGGTCACCACATAGACCCGGCGGACTTTCACCATGGCGAGGTACGAGAAGTGAGGCGAGGCCCAGAAGAAAGCGCCTTTGTGAAGTGATATCAAACATCATTCTGGGTGATTGCTGTAAGACCCAACATTCAAACAGAAAACATCGAAGTTGTGGGTGTGAAGAATCCCACGCACAAATGTTTTCGATCATATGAATCATATGCGCACCTGACTTTCATCTTGTGCCACAAGGTTGGATCATCTTTCCAGTTCTGTTCTGACGGCATGGCGAAAGCAGCAACTGAAGCAGAACGCTGCGGTGTTCTCCGGCGCCTTATGTCAGCCTATGGCCTTGCTCCAGAGAATAAGTGACTCAAATGTGTGCATAAAATTGCAGTCAGAAGACAAAAGTCAGAAGTGGGAGTTTGGGGTACAAAATGTCGCCCCATCTCGAAAATCTCCAGCTAAAACTCAGAATCTCCCCCTCCGCACTGATAGAGTAGGTAGTCAAGGTTCATGGGTGGACAAGACAAAAAAAAACTGACGATGACGATGGCGATGGCGATGACGATGATGATGACGATGATGATGACGATGACGATGACGATAACGATGAAGAATGATGATGATGATGATGATGAGGATGATGACGATGACGATGATGACGGTGATGACGATGATGACATTGATGACAACGATGACAATGATGACGATGATGACCATGACCATGACCATGGTGATGATGATTACCCTGGTCGTGGCTGGCATTTCTCCGCAGTGCATGGTCTGTGACCAAATTTCCAACAGCCTTAAGCTGTGGAAAGCCAGTCTGACCTCGCCTGCTGCCAGGTGCAAGGTGCGGCGTCACAGCAGCGCAAGTTGCTGCCGTTTTTGTTTTGTGGAGGCTGTGCTGGAACTGAAATACGTTGGGAAATGGCAACCTTTGGGCTAACTCCAATACCAACACTGGCTCATAAACCTGCCGTCTTCTTACATGATCTTACAGATGTAATGACAAATAAAGGTAACCAATGCAGTTCCAGGCCTTGCCTCAATCAGCATACGCTTCTCGCAAGCCATCAGCCAGTTGCTGATCGTGTGGACAAACTCCACTCTTCCGAGTTGCGGGTCTCCGACTCCAGGGAGGAGTCGTCGCCGTCCTCGTCCCCGGCAGTTCCGGTAGTTGCCCAATGAATCTGGGATTGAAGACTTTGAGATGATGAAAAGCCCTGCTAGCTACATCTAGCTACCAGCTACCAGCTACCATGAATGCCAGTTGAGCCGCAAGACTTCCAGATGACCATCTAATGGATGCATTTTGACACACCCCCACATGGACCCATCCATGGATCGATGGCTCCTGTGTTGGCAGGTCGGTGGGTCCGTGCGAATCTGCCTCCGAGCACATCTGATCGCAAAACGTGACCCCTGGCGCATGGGGCAGACTTGCGGTACAAGATCCGACCCTTCGCCGAATCCCCCCACTGCCCAGGGGGGTCTTTAGCATTAGGGGGATGAGATGAATAATCGAAAGCAACAAAAACCCTTCTAGTAATTGGACATAGTAAAATCACCACGTTCATCCATTCATGTTCCATAGCAGTTACCAATGACTGGAGGCTATTGGGAAAATTTTGATTTTCTCGCCCAAAAAATTGATGGACTTACCTTCAAAAAATGCGGACTTCACATGGTTTAACCATGAAAACTGGGAGTTTCACATGATTGTAACCATCAAAAATTGGAAATTCCACAAAGATTTCACCAAAAATAGGAAGTTTCACCCCTTCCACATCCAGGCCTGGCAGTTCGCAGCTCTTCAGATCCGGCGCCCCCAGCACCCGCAGCACATTCGCCGCCACGATGGGCGGCACCAGCCGGGAACTGAGGCACACGGCCATGCGCGAACACCAGCGGTCCAGGCGACCGGTGGTGCCAACGGGTCGCAGGCGATGGGCGAAGGGCACCTGGCAGAAGTAGGTCTGGTAACTGCCTCGGAGATTGCTTGGGGGATATGTTTTTTGGGGATTTGGGAAACCTCGGGAGATGTTGTTGGGAAGATTGGTTGGAGATATTATGGAGATAGAATGGTGATATAATGGGTATATCATGAGTATACAAAAATACATATATACATACATATATATATATAATTATGTCATGGGGAGATTGTGGGGGGATATGTTTGAGATTTACAAGCAACAATTACAAGCAACAATGTGATTGTGATATTTGGGTGTGTCTGAAAATTGGGTATGGGCGCCCCAAGTCATTGCACTCGCAATACCCAATTTCGAGACCAAACCACTGCAATTCAGGGGATGAAAAATATTGGGATTTGTACTAGAAGCTGCTTTATGTTTTTGAACCAAAAAAATACCCTCCAGTAATCAAACATGGCAACAGGAAATCCCCTAAGGTTGACATACACATCTATAATTGAGGGATTTTCCATTGCCATGTTTGAATTCCAGAGGGTAACCATCAACAAGGGGGGGGTGTTTAATGGAGCGTTTTTGTTGGGAAAATCTATGGGAACATTCCTTTTTTTGCCACTACAGTAAATATAGGGGCTTCCTCCAGATTCTCCCAATAAAATCAAATTCATCAACTATCAGTTTCTCCATTTTCGAGCTCAAACAAGATCTGGGCGATGTATTCTAGCTTTTCTGTCTACTTTTTCATAACAATCAAAGTTGGTATCTCCTGGTTCTCCCAACCATGGCTAGCCGCGAGCCCAACCCACCCCCATCCAAGGGGCTGCCCAAGTAGTGCTTTACCAGGTCATGTAGCCCTGCCCGGAGATGGGCTAAGCGCCTGGAGACCTTCCATTCCACCCAGGGCCGTTCCTGCCACCGGGGCCGCAGGTGGGTCTAAGATGTCAACTCCGTGGTGTCTTTAGGGAGCTGTCTAAACATGTCTAAACTATAAGTCTTTGACTAACTTCAGCCAATTCCCAGGATTGGACAAATTGGTGTGTTTTTTACTTGGTGGAGAACTACCCACGAATCGGAAGGTGATATTTATGGTTTTGTTGGTGGGACAAGTAGGGTTAATGCACTTAAAACATCCTATACCTAGGGTGAACTAACCGACGAATACGATTCGTGGGTAGTTCGCCACCAAGTACCACTTAAAAAATGGGAACATGGTTTTATAATGTCTTCCTTCCCTTGGATTTTTTTCCCATGGACTGAGAAATTGTTCGTTACCAAAATGGGATGGTCTACGACTGAAAACGGGACCATTTCATCTACAGTTTTTCTGGATCTTCATTTTAAGCCCGTATCAGGGAGAATTTGAAAAACTACAACTTCAGCGAAGTGGGTAATTGCTCATCTTGTCAAGCAAGAGCGTAATTATGGGAACAATGTTCTGGCAATCCGGCAGTAACTCTGGCACTTGAAAATCTCAAAATCCTATATCTGTAGATGAATGAATATTAACAAATCTATGTAAATATATATATATATTATTTTATATTATATTTTATTATATTATATTATATTTTATTTTATTTTAGTTTATTTTGTTTTATTATGTTATGTTATGTTATATAAAATAATATTATATAATATTAGATTATATTATATTGTATTATGTTATGTTATATAAAATAATATTATATCATATTAAATTATATTATATGATATTATATTATATGACTATGGCAATATTCCAATACCAGGTTTGTTTGCAAGAGCAAACCGCTAACCGCCCACCACTACTCTCGACCACCACAACTGGCGAAGGATTTGCCATCAACCGTAGGACCAAAAACAACCAATAACCTGACATCACCTACACCGGTTCTTCCTAAAATGCGGCGGAATGAAGAATCAAGGTCAAATTGCCTGGATTCCAAAGCGTTTCGAGGTTTCATCACATGTACCCTCCAGTAAATTGACATAGTACAACAAAGTATGATGATGATGTCCCCATCAAACATGGTGGTTTTCCATAGCTATGTTGGTTTGCCAAAGGGTATGTCATCATTTTTCCGCATGGACATAGCTGTGGATCAAGAGGATGCTCATCCCCCATTCCGGTGGCAAAGCTGATAGTTGTCGACCCATGCCCATATATTTTGCTGGCCGGGGGGACTCCCAACAAGGTTGCTCCAAGCTATATAGGTAAATGGTAAATGATTCCAAGCTACATGGTGAAAATCAGTGATTTGATTGACTTCTTCAGTCAATTAATTACTTTGTACTTTTACCGTAACTTGCATCTGGGCTCCATTCCGCAGCCTCTGGAGTCTTCTTGCCCCGCCACAAGTGACATTCGATGATGTAATGCAAGTGGCGGCCACAGGTCGAATGTCCATGGACCCGGATGGTGAACTCCGGGTTCTCGGTACCTGAGCCCAGCTAAAGAAGGGCGGATTGGGATTGGAGCCCATCAAAGAACCCTGCAAAATGCACCACGAATGATTTGGAAATGGTGAGAATATGTGGGGATTGAGGATTAGTTTTTTTCCGTCCAGTAGTAGATTCACTTGAACGGGCCCGAAAAGGAAGGGATCCGACACCAAAAGATATATATTTGGGAAAGGGATCGAAAAATGCTGAAATCTGGATCTAAGTGGAGGTCCTAGGAAAGCACCAACTTCAACCCCAGCCCATATCTTAGGCCAGGCTAGCTTTCCTTTTCAAGAGATGGCAAGACAGAAACGACTGGGCCAATGTTCATCAAGCCACCCTTTTGCCAATCCATTTGCGTGCTTGCCTGGAATCCGAAGGGATCCAAGAAGAGCGCCACATCACGACCAGTCAACTGCTTTGGCAGCTCGATAAAATCATCATCCACGGTATCGTCCATCGCATCAAGTGGCCCAGGAAGTCGCCGACATGGCTGCTGCGTGCAGTGGGATCTTTGTTGATGGCCGTTGATGGCGATGGCTGTTGAACCACTTTTAAAAGGAGGCTATGAAAGCTAGGCCAAAGAAAGTGTGGCCACTGGATTAAAGAGGCCTTGGCAAATCATGGCAGCTAAAAGTGAGGAGTGTTGGGAAGGCATTGGCTAGAAAAGGCTTTATATGTCTTTATGATGTGTTCTGCCGTTTTATTATATAAATCAAGCGTTCAAAAAGGACTGGACAGCCCCACAATCCCATCGCTGACTGGGTTCTGCTGAATGCCACTGCATCTTGATGCGCTGGGTGCAACTTGTGGGGCGAAAGAATCTTTCCAAAACACCTTGAGCCAGATTGACCACCGATCACCAAAAGCCTGCTGGGTCTTGTATGACTAAAGCACGTCTGAAAATATTGCGTCTCATGCTGTATGACCTTCAAAAGCACCTTTAGGCATCAGGATTCTGGCGTCGCACGTCTGAAAATATGGCACCGCCAAGCCCAATTGTTGAATCATATTTTACCCTAGTTTACCCATGAAAACTGGCAGATTTTGAAGGTCTTAGTTGTAAATCCACAGGGGCAAGCCGACGAAGGATGTCAACAAATCATCTTCATCAGCAACGAACGCCTCAAACCCTCAACAGGATTTCCTGATGCATCGGAAAATCCACAACTCTTGAACTGTTTTGCACTGGGCAAACTTTTGACTGTGCTTAGTATGGTTGACTTCCCATTCGATTCTACCCATGTTTTTTCCTCAAGGATCCTACTTTTGAGTTCTAGCTAGTCTAGCCTAGCCACATCCAACTCTTCCCTGGTCACCAGTTGGGTAATTTTCGTCACACAATCTCAATCGCTGACTCAGAGTCTCAGCAGGGCTTTGCCCTGGGAGATCCCTGACGCCTGAAAATCGATGAAATCTATGATGAAACAAATTTAACAAGGAGACCTCGAGGCAGGCCCCCCACGACTCCAGAACCCCGGGCGCAATCCCAAACGGCACTCACATTCCATCGCTGTCCGAGTCTTCGCAAAGATCCCCATGGCTTAGAGCGTCATGGAGTTCGTATCCCCACCGTGCAGAGAAACATTGGAAGCAGATCACCACCGAGTTTAGACCCAGGACCAGGCCCAACCCCGCATAGGCCACTGGAAACTTGGAAACCAAGTAGTCCAGACATCCCTCATAGGTGTCCAGGGCATAGCCATCACCTGGTGCCAAGTTTTTGTGAAAATTCTTTTTGGTGGAAAGCAGAGTAAAGATCAGCATTCCAAAGCTGGATTTTTGGAATGAAACACGATTTTTCCCCAAACAGTGTGTCCACACTGAGGGGTTCTTACGGTAGGAGCTAAAGGGTCGGGGTTCGATCAGGGTACGCTCTGTGGCCTCCGGTTTTTTCGCTGTAAATTCTTGCGCAAAAGTTCCCTTGTGAGATGCCCATGTGCATTTCGACTGCGCAAGCTCGCATTAAAGTGTATGACGACTGTTTCACAAAACGAGACTTTCGACCCTTTCAAAACGTCATCCAAATTCACCAAATACTGCGCCTGCCGCGAAGACGACGTCCAAAACCACCTCTCATTTTGACCCATGCCTGCCAATGCTTTAGCAACGCGCCAAGAGTGCTACACCTGCCACAGAGATGGAAAAGTGTCCGATGTCCTGCACCTGTCACGCAAAACCACGTTCCAGACCTCCAAATTCCCCGAAAGCACCATGCCTGCCAAAAAAAATGAACACAACTCAAAAAACGGGCATTGTGTGCGGGTAAAACTACACCTCGACCCCCGCAAAAAAGTACCCGAAACATTGGCAAAACATCGTTTTTGACATTTTCAATGTGTGTTTTTCGTGGTGCATGCAACGTTTTGTGAAAATCTAACATGTCATTGCGCAACCCTCTCGGCACTTTGTGCGTGTCAGATCGCTCTCGTTGTGGCGCGGTGCATATTTTGATCTCGCTCGCGCAACCCTCTTGGCACTTTGTTGCTTTGTGCCTGTCGGTTGCTCTCGTTGTGGCGCGGTGCTGATTTTAGCTGATTCCCTGGGGTTCTGGTAAAGAGAGCTGATGAATTCTCTGGAAGGCCCTTCTATGACGATCTTGCAAGCATTTCATGGTGCAGCCGCGGAATCGTTATGAGAAGATCTTGTGACGACCCTGTTGAGATCTTCTAAGAGGTCCTTGCCTGGGAAGATCTTGCGGAGATCCTGGTGAAGTTCTCTCTAAGAGGTCTTTGCATGATCTTGTTCAGGTCCTTGTCAGGAGATCTTGTGGTGATCCTGGTAAGATCCTCCCTAAGAGGTCCTTGCATGAAGATCTTGCAGATGCCCATGTATTAGAGGTGCTTGTATGAAAGCTCTTTTGGGATGCTCTTGGGAGGTTCTTGTAACAAGATCTTCTAAGATCCTCTCCAGCAGCAGGTCCTTTTATGACGATCTTTGAGATTCTCTTAAGGGGTCCTGGCATGAAGATCTGGGTCAAGGTCTTTTACAAATCCTTGTGAGAAGATCTTGTATTGTAGAGATCCTGGTGAGACACCAAAGAGGTCCTTGCATGATCTTGTACAGGTCCTTGTGAGAAGATCTTGAATAGGTCCTGTTGAAATCCTCCTCAAGAGGTCCTGGGGCTAAGATCTTGAAGATGCTGCGCGTTTGTGCTTGTATGAAAATTCTTCTGGGATGCTCATAGGAAGTTCTTGTATGAATATCTTGTGAGATCCTCAATATAGAAGGTCCTTCTTCGACGATCTCTTGAAATCCTCTCCTGATGAGTAGACATAGCATTGCTTCTTGTACCAAAACAAGTTCGTGCTGCAGCAGTTACAATAGTGTCTAAGCTGATCTGTTACTGTTCCATAGCTACTGCTGCTTGTATCTGGTACGTTGACTTCCTACCCCCGGCACTGTTTGGGGTCTCTTGCCGGTGTAATTTTTGGAACCACCACTTTAAAAATTCATTTTTCTGGAAAATGTCAAAAACACCCCCCCAAAAAAAACATCATACAACATCCACAACCAGCACCCAGTGACTCTTGCGATATTTACATGCCTCCATGATGCCTACACAGCTTCCATTCCTTCGGCACACCGTCTCCACTGAGCTGAGCCCTATCAGCAGCAGGATCATCAGAATGGCATGAAGGACGTGCAGACAGCCACCGCAGCAGCTGCAGCACACGAAGCAGCCCAGGCAGGGCCGATTGTTGCGCTTGGCGCCAAAGAAGCCAAAACATGGCACCTAGACTGGAACAAAAATGAATGTGTTGATGTGTTGGAATAGAGGTATTGTTGGAACTGGTCATACTGGTCAGGGGGATCATCCTAACTGAAAGCTTGAACATATTCTATTCTTTCGAAATGGAGCTTGTTTCTAGCTGGGAAAATCATCCATAAATGAAGGTGTTAATGGCTTAGTTATATCAAAAAGCTTAGTTATATCATAAAATGGTATAAGTTTATTGAATAGCCCAATCGGGATCGTTATCCCCTTTGATTTTCTGTTGTTGTTTTCACATGAATAGCCCGACCACTGGTTAGCCACACCAGGCACTATGAGGGCCAGAATCAGCGCATTCACGCCCACCAGGTACTTGCTGTAAGGCTGCATGAAGATGGAGGTCGTGTCGTCTTGAAGATAAGATTCCCGGAACTCGTCAAACATATTGGGATCCTTGGGCAAAAACCGAATCAAATTTGGAAAATACGGAGTTATCTCCTCTTCAAGTATAGCCGCTATAGCCATTGAAAATGTGTGTGTGTGTATATATATATATATATATGGCTCCAGGGTGCCAGGACATGCCAGGACATATGATACACATGGTACTTCAGCCAAATCCAAGGATCTGCAAACACGAAAACCACATAGTTGAAGGTGACCAGGACGGCAGCCGTGCCTGAGAGGCATAAGACCCGGTGCGTCAACGTCCTCAGGCGAGTGCTGTGAAACTTCATATGGAAGGGATAGCACACCATGCTGGCCCCAGGTGCGTATCCTGATGCAGACCTGTGGGTTACTTTGAGCCCAAAAAAACAGGGCTAGGGAACAGGCACACAGAATAGCTCACCTCCCAAAATGGAGAAGCCTCAGAGATTCAACAGCTGCAATTGGGAAATACCTCACCCAGTGCCATCGGGCTTCGTCCGATTGCCTGGAGGTGAACATTTCACCGAGTCCCCATCGTTGAATGTTTGATTGCCATCAGCTGGTTTTGCGCGACGACTGGTAGATTGCAATCCAAACAAAAAAGAAATGATTCAGGAACATGCCCTTACGAAAGAAATCGGTGTCCTCTTTTCACTTTCAAAGATCAGAGATTTTAGAGGATACCTAGATCGATGCCTTTTTAGCCTATCAAGTTGGGTCATCAGCTCGTGAAAATCCTATGTTTACCGATGCTTCTCTTCTATTCTTCCCACCCAGCCCGCTGCTATTGCTATAGCTTCCGGCATTCCATTTGATTGCTGCATTTGAAAAAACCCGACCTCAGTCCTCAGTTTCAAACCTGAAAAAAATATTGATCCAATGGAATCCAATGGAATCCAAGTCACAACTGACGTTCCAGCCAGTAGCATCCACAATATGACCCGGTCATCCCCGTTTGCGACTAGTCTTTAACCCAGGGGCCGGTTGTGCTCACAGCAGGTGCTAACTTTTTGCTTAAGCGTCGCGCGACGCGGCTCAGCTGCCACAAGGGTTGCAGCATTTGCTGTGCGGTCGGCAGTTGGCGCGTTCGAGATCGGAACGGAGCCGCACGCGACGAGTGAAACGACCAAACGACGAAACGAAGCGACCGCGGAACCCGCTCGAACCTTGACGCATTTGATGTTCTTGGAAGCTTCAAAAACCCACAAATAATTGTTGTTGACACTTCCTACATTCAGGTCTTCCTCCATACCATGAGCTGGAGATGGACTTCTATCTGAAACTGTTTACAACTATGTGTCTGCTGGTCATTTGCATCCTGGTACATGTTGAAAGGGACCCACTGGCCTGTCATTTCACCAATGAAAAGCTGGAATCTGTTTGTTATATACATCCCAACATTTTTGTTGATAAAGTCAATGTTTCTTAGCCGTGCTGCTGAAGTTTCACAGCATTCCCATCAAAGATCACCTGCGGCTCAGATCCGCAGTTTGCCTCAAACTTGTCATCCCAAGGGTCATCAGAATCGAACGTGAACCGAGATTTTTAAACACCGGAACTTCTGGGTGGGAAAGTGAAGAAAATCGTCGCTCCACAAGCTTCGATATATCTACCATAGATCTACCATAGATCTACCATAAACATTCATAAACCACTTAGTTATAAACCAACTGGTTCACTGTTGAATGGGGCGCTGGGAAGCCCCAACGAGGTTCTGGAGCTTGAGGAGCACACACCCTCAGCAGCGTCGAAAATCCAGCAGGGTGCTTGGAAAGTTGGATATTTTACCATGAAAAATTGTGATTGCATGGGAAATGATGGGAAACTGTGGATTATATAGGAATTATCTGGGATCTAGGGATTTTTGCCAGAAATGAACCAAGAATCTTATTGGAAATTTGATGGGAATATAATGTTTGCAACCCAACTGAGCCCTAGTGAAATGATAGTTCATGATGTTGCTGGGTGTAACTAGGGGAGACCCAAGATTTTTCAGAAAAATGGGAACATGTTTGAACTGGGTTTATATATGTTTATATTATATAATTTTATATATATTTTTATATAATTATAATATAATTATATTAATATATATATATATATATATATGGGGACGTCTCAAAATACCGTGTCCAACCCGGGAAGTTTGACTAGGGGGTATGATTCGCGGGTATGATTCGGGGTATGATTCGTGGGTATGATTCGCGGCCCTTTAAGTACCTATACTTACTCCCAAAATCGTCCGAATGTTGCTAATTAATGCCATTTATATCATACATGGAGTATATGGGTCTCATGGTGCTGCTGCAAGGGGTGATGCTTCAGGGCGCTGCAAGGAGGGTACGTACTGTACCCAACTCGTGCTGCAAGGGTGCTAGTGAAGGGTGCTGCTGCGCGCTGCAGGGTGCTGTTGTCGGATTTTTCTCAGAAGCAGCAGGACCCGTGGCGAATGGCTGCAAAGAAAAGAGTTCACAAAACACAAGTTCTGATCTTGCAAATGTACCAAGGTTCAGAATTGGGAAGTTTGAGGTATGATTCGGGTATGATTCGGGCATGATTCGGGGTATGATTCGGAAACCCATCTTTTTTTGAATTCAGGAAGCTTTGTTGCTTGAGTCTCTTTTTCCCACCGTCAACCTACTACGATTGCTACTTTGTCAATGGCTGCAATGGCTCGACCTGCCAGACGACCTTGGACAGGACCTGAGTATGAAGAATGTGAAGATCTCAATGCACATCTATGATTTATATCCGCCGGCCTGCCGGCGTCTCTTATGGATGTTCTTCTCATGTACCTTTAGCTCAGCTACGCTTAGGCTTATGTTCCTCTTCGACGGAGTTTTGGTTTGGTTGCCAGCCAGCCAGCCAGCCATCCACCCAGAGCCAGCCAGCTTAGGGATAATGATGAGACTCTGCGCGCGTGGAGAAGATTCGCCAACACTGGTCAATTAGCTTGTCAGGTCCATTATAACTAGTGAGGCCAATGCAATCCCAAACGATCCCAAAAAAAAACATTCATAATCCTGATTTTTTAGGGGTATGATTCGCAGATTTCGGGGGTATGATTCGGGGGTATGATTCGGGGTATGATTCGGGGGTATGATTCGCGCAAATCGAACTTCCTGCCTTTACTAAAAACTGCACGCATCAAAAAAAGACAGGCCCATATATATAATCATTATATATCAACTTAAGAGTGAGTTTTGCATAGTTTTACATGAAAATGAGGGATACCTTGACATGGGAGTGATCAGGAGAACGACATCTTCTCCGTCAATCCATGCTGGAAATCCTCCATCAGTTTCCCCCATTTACAGATGGTCCGAAAGCGAAAAACGACTCAGCTAGGGACTCAGCTAGCTAGAAAGCTCCCAAGTTGCCAGAGGTTTTAGGATGCCAATGAAAAATCGCTGAGGGCAGGACATGTTGATGTGATTTGCTGGATTGTAGATCCTGTCCTGCGCTGCCAAGTGAGCCAAGGTTGTGCCCTCTGACGAGACTAGAGGCCAACAAAGTTCTTCCTTCGTTTCCTTCAAATTTTGGGGAAAAAAAAGGCGGACAGACTGCCTTTGCACTGGTTCAAAGCAAGATATGTTGGTGGAAGGTGAACCTTTCTTCCGCGCAAAAAGGAGTCGTTGTCATAGGTCACAGCATGATGTGGGGACTGCCTAGTGTGTGGAAGTGCAAGTCAACTTAGAAGTAGCGTCGCATCAACAACAGGTCACTCCCCCCCCCACCCCGTCAACACCGTAGCAACAAGTCATGTAAGCTCCTCAATGAGATCCGCAGCGACCCTCAGGGGGACGGTCCACATCTGGTTGGAATTCCACCCACAAAAATATGTGTCATTGGGGATCTGTGTTTTTGAAACCACCCCCCTCTGGTAATTCAACATGTTCCACATGATGACATAGCTATGTAAAATCACCATTGTTGATAGATAAATCATCTACAAATGGGCCATGGCTTCCAAAGCTGTGCAACAAACTACTAGGTCGGGCGCTCATAGATGGCCGTATGGTTTCGTGCACTTTCATCTCAGTTTTGACACAAATGTATAAATGGTGATATGGCAAATCCTCCACGCTGGCCATTCGAAATGCATGTACAACTTCACATGTCCATGTTCATATCTTGGCATGTCATTTTTTGACGTCGAAAAAAACTACTTCACTTGAGACACTTTCAGGTGTATTTACTTCAGTGCATGACTTTTATTTTCATCCACCTTTAATCTGCAAAAAGTCGAGACAGTTGCTCGAGAACCTCGCTTGGATTCTTTCCCAAAAGTGCATGGTTTCTCCATGCCCATTGAAACACTTCTAAAGACACATGCTCATGCAAGGTTGCGTCATCTCCTTTTTTTATGTTTTCAAAAAAACAGGAAATTCAAGGAAAAAGATGTGTTGAATTACAAGAAAAGATCTCATGACGTACCATCCCAGATGTGTTGAATTCCAAGAAAAGATCTCATGACGTACCATCCCAGATGTGTTGAATTCCAAGAAAAGATCTCATGACGTACCATCCCAGATGTGTTGAATTCCAAGAAAAGATCTCATGACGTACCATCCCAGATGTGTTGAATTCCAAGAAAAGATCTCATGACGTACCATCCCAGATGTGTTGAATTCCAAGAAAAGATCTCATGACGTACCATCCCAGATGTGTTGAATTCCAAGAAAAGATCTCATGACGTACCATCCCAGATGTGTTGAATTCCAAGAAAAGATCTCATGACGTACCATCCCAGATGTGTTGAATTCCAAGAAAAGATCTCATGACGTACCATCCCGGATGTGTTGAATTCCAGGAAAAGATTTCATGACGTACCATCCCAGATGTGTTAACTCCAAGAAAAGATCTCATGACGTACCATGCCAGATGTGTTGAATTCCAAGAAAAGATCTCATGACGTACCATCCCAGATGTGTTGAATTCCAAGAAAAGATCTCATGACGTACCATCCCAGATGTGTTGAATTCCAAGAAAAGATCTCATGAAGTACCATCCCA